TATGTCTTTTCTGACACGCCTGGATGTATCCACCATATTATGGTTGGTATTATTCCCGCTGTAACACCCAAGCAGGTATGTAGATGGTCCACTGTTGTCATGAGGAGGAACCCTGTCACAGGTCTCAGGGCAGCATTCTGGCAGATATGGATGTGCTTCCACTGCGTAGCACTAGTATTCGCAGACCACACTGGAGCCGCAGGCCGACCTATATCGTTTTAAGAGATCAAAAAGGTTTCCTTGTCCGCACCCCAAGTTCTGCCGGATAGCGCCTTGAGGACCTTGTTTCTAATTTTCATCTTGTCGCAGATAGCTGTGGCTTGCGCGGACAACTTGAACATGCTGTCGAATGTGACCCCTAGAATCTAGGGGTAGTTCGTATTCGGTATTAAACTTCCCTCGACCTTCAGATTTAGTTGTATTCTCATCTCCGCAGACCATGTGATAAAGAGTGTGGCCGTTGATTTCTTGACGGATATTTTCATATTCCTCGCATGGAAGTATGCGGCAAGTTTCGCGAGATAGGGGTTCAGCCTTTCACATATGTCATTGACCACTATGCTCGACTCATGATCGTACAATCATAAACATACCTTACGATCTCTATGCCGTCAGGAAGGCGAAGAATTCTTGAAAGGTAGAGGTTGAACAGTTCCGGAGATATGTACTTTTAAGGATATTCGGGTATTCGGAAGTGTATAGTATCGGGAACTCGGCGATCGTAGGGTCAGATTAGCTACGGTTTATAATTGCTTCTGCGTCACTACTCTGGATTTCGGTTGGAAAAGTGAGCCTGAGCCTGTGAGCCTGAATCGTCCCAGCTTACGATTTTATTAGACCGATGTATCAAAGAGAGCATCTACCATTCTTAAGGCAACCCCCCTACAAGAGCAAGCCTTTGCTGCAAACAGGAACAAATACTCTTAATATTACCAGCATAGCCATGTCAATGAGAATTATATCTCATTCGCCGTTAGCAATTCGATTGAATTGATTGGTTTGTTTTTTCAAAATTTCAATCTCTCTCGAAAAAACAAAGTTTTGAAAACGTTGCATGATTACAGATCATGACTTATCACTTTTACACAATATTTTATATACTGGGCACTCATTATGAGGTGTCATGTAATATACTCACAATAATAAAAATAACTTCAAAATTGTTCAAGTTCCATTCGATTCCATTCCATTCGAACGAATACAAATTGAATAAATTATTTGTTGTTATCTGTTATTTCAATCTTTTCAAATATCTAATTGCAAAAGAAAATAGCTTAAAGTGAAATCTTCTTCCTTCCAATGTTTGTCATTTGTAAATCACAACAACAATTTACTAATGGTCATTAAATAAAGCATCATGGTCATAACATATAAACTGACCCATAACTATGGGTCAAGACTTGCTCCGCATGCAAGGATGCAAAGAGACACACTCACTCACTCACACACACCCATCCTATCCATTGAAGCATAAACAAACTGAAATGAGATCCAACTGAAGTACACACAAGACAGAACGATGAATCTATGCTATTACAGGGACACACTCACACAAACACACACACACATGCATACTCTCGCAACGATATGAGCATGGCAGCATGGTAATGTTAAATCAGGAATTCACATTTCTTTGCAGTGCAGTGGCTGGTGCCAGTGCCAATACGAAATGCAAATGCCAGAATAGGTCAGTTCAAAGCAAGCCAGGCAGCAAAGAAAGCAAACTTGTTGTTGGTAATAAAGTAATTAATTCTCAAAGCATTCAGTTACGATGACTGGCAGTACACAATGGACGGATGGATGGCGGGATGAATGGATGTGAAATAAAAGATAAAAGCAAGTCCTCTTTCTCACAGAACAGATAGCATCTATAGAAAGTGGATACTTGTGTGAGGAGTGTAAATTATGACCGCTTGCCTGAATAGAATTTAATATTTTTCGAGCTTTGTTTAGAAATTCCCATGCCGATGCATTTGATCAGCGATTTTAAATACCTTCTGTAAATGTGCATTCCCTGTAAAATATCCACATGTATTGTTTGAAAGACAAGAAAGAAGTTTTGAAATACCCACATCATTTGCTTACAATGAGGAGATTTTCATTGGAAATCCACAAATTCTCTAATAGTTCCATGAATTGATTAAATGTTAATGGCACTTGCAAACTGATACGGCATTGAGTACAAGAGGTTTCAATGCCCTATATAATTTGTGGCATAAATGAAAATTAATAATGAACATTAATACACAGTAAGATTCAGTTCATAATGAAAAATGTAATACATGTGTCATATTTCCATAACATTTTCCGGCATTTCTTGTGCGGAGAAAGTATAATGCATTAGTTTTGAGAACTAATCTGAGAAGTCGACCAAATTTTTGAAGTAAAAAATAAAGCATCACCACTAAAGGCATTTAAAGTACCTTAAAATATATTGTAAACTAGCAAGTGCACGTCAGAAAAAAAGTCAATTTTAGATTCGTTCCAAAAGTACGTTTGGTACGTTTTAGTACTCAAAATTCACAATTTGTTCAGTTTAACAAACAATTTTAAATCAATTCTTCCTACATCGTACCAAATTTTTAGGTTTTTTATATTATTTATATTTTTCTTTTTTGGAAAGAACAATTAAAAAAGCTGTAATTGAATACCCTCCACCATTGACCAATTTAGCAATTTCAATAAATAAAATCCGTTAAAAATTCTGTTAAAATCTTAAAAATACCGAATGTAACCGTATATTAGGGTCTATACGACGATGTAGACCTGTATAGGCAACTCTTGTCACAAGCCATTACAATATTCAAATGTGAAACTTAAAAAAAATCTGTGAATAATATATTTAAAATCATCGAAATACCGAATATAGGGAGGTACTAATATAGCTGGGGCTGTACCTAAACGTGGACATGCACAGACAATTTTCTGTCATAGGCTGAAGTATCCATAACAAACTTCAAATACCAAATTTGAAACAAATCCGGTTAATAATGTCGATAAAATCATCAAGATACCGAAAATAGGGAGGTAGCATTATATGGGGGCTATACCAAAACGTGGACCTACATGGCCCGTTTGCAGACATATTATACACTTGAGTAAAATTTTATCAATCTACTTCATTTCGTTCGGAAGCTAGAGTGATTTCTACAAACGGGCGGACATCGCTAAATCGTCATGCAATTTATGCTAATCATGAGTATATATGCTTTGTGGGGTCTAAAATGTATATTTCGAGGTGTTACAAACGGCATATACCCACCATACTATGGTGGAGGGTATAATAATACTGCATCTGTCCTGATTTTAATAGATAGACATGTTTTAGATTGTATGTTAAATATAAATCATCTTCAAGCTCATCTATTTCAACCAAATAGTTAGAGCCTGCTGAATGATTTATACACTCAGTTTATGGGCTAGTGTTATACGGAGGGTAAATATCATTCGATACGGCCAAAATGTGCCTCATCAAAATAACGATTTTAGACCCTAGGTCTATTTGGACCAAATTTGTTTCAGGGCATTTTGGAGTCGATCTAGGGAATTCCGTCCCTCCGTCTGTCTGGCTAGTGCGCAAGATAATTCTCGAAGGGAGTATCTGAATGGACCAAAACTTTGTACATCGCAATATTATCGTAAGAAATTAAATTGAAATCCCAGAAGGTTAATATCGGTCCACTTCTTTTGGTATCTCCCCACAAAATATCAAAATTTTTATAGAAAATAATTTACCGTGTACAACAAGAAAGAATCCTCCGATTTTGTCAAAATTTTACAAAGTCCAATACTTGTATCAGTGCTAAGTTAGGTGCGAAAATGGACAATATCGGCCCACTCCATCATCTATCTCCCCCACAACAGGTTCAGTCTAACACATCCCAATATTTCTAGCAAAACAAGATCTGGTGGGAAGATGGTAGATATCGATCCACTCCTTCTGGAACCTCCTCCATAATGGACCAAATTTTTGAACAAATTACTTATGTGCATTCGATTATTTTCTAACTCGGCACATCCCAACATTTCTATCAACACAAAATCATATGTGTAGATAGAATATATCGGAATATGTTGTCTCATCCACAAGGAGTCAAAATTTTAAATATTTATATCTGTCATATAATAAGCATCAGATTCACTTGAAATTTCACACATTCCAACTTTTCTATAACGTAATATCTGGTGTGAAGGTGTAATATATCGGACTTCTTCTTCTGGTACCTCCCCCACAAAGGTACCCTTCATGAAAAGTCGGCGATTCTTTTCAAACTTGGTATATTACATATTTTTTGTCAATTTATCGGTAAGAAGTGGATAATATTGGTCCACTTCTTTAGTATCTCCTCCATAATGGGTCAACATTTTGAATAATCGTAATGTAGGTCAAAATATATTTTAATAAACTGGCATAAGGGTATACATCTGTCGACAAACCCGACTAACATTTCCGTATATAACTTTTAAAGCACATCAAAATCTTATATTTTCGAAATTTTTCTCACACCCTACTATCCTTTTTGTTAAAACTGCTGACATGAATAAAATCAATTATTTAATTAAAGAATTTCTCCAGAAATCAGTAGAAAACCGCAAAGCAAATCCGCATGATTAATTTTGTGCTCTTCGCTTAGCATCCAAACCGGATTTCCCTTTGGCATCTGAACACTCACGTCGAACATAACAAATAAATCACCTTATCGTGTTATTGACTTAACTCGGCATTAGTGCCGGGTCCATTTTACAATTATCTCGGTCAAGTGTGGTGGTCTATCTCTGTTGAATTAAATCACAGGATTTGATTAATTTATTAGGATATCCTTTATGGGTTAGTTTGCATAGTTTAATGTCGTTTACATTGCGTACATACCGATACAAGACAAATACACCAACACACCGTCCCCCCTCTCTCTCTCTCTCCCCCTCCGATGTCCTTTAATAAATGTATAACTCTCTAATGTTGTTATTGTTGTATTTGTTGTCTTGTTTACATTTTACAGTTCAAACGATAAATGGCTAACGAGCAGAGTTACCATTACGGATGCCAAGCTCTCCGACAGTGGCAATTATTCATGTTCGATTGGCAGACTCTTCACAGCCATTGTCCAGGTGCAGGTGTTGACAGGTGAGTAGAATGCAGAAAAGTACAAAGTCAATAGAGAGCCGGTAGTCGGACTCGATATCGAAGAAGAAGAAGAAGACGACAAACAAATGGCAAACAAAGATAGAAACACTTTTGCTATTTTCCCCCAATCTCTGTTGGCCAAGATGCAGTCGTATGACACACATTTTTAATTAATTTAAAGCACACACACACATACATACATCCCTTCCAAGCTCCCTTTTGCCCTTCCGTTTCATTGTCCTTTGCCCTGCTCTACGATTAAGACATTCAGTCTGGCAACCAAAAAGCAATTCTCCCATTTCGTATTTGCACAACTTCAAGGTGAAACAATAACAACAGCAAAAATGTCAGCAGCTCAGTTCGAATCTCGAGAAGATACTGCTGCTACGGCTGTTGTTAACTTCATTCGAAAGTTCTCGACACATTTCGGTAATTAATTTACATTTATCTTAACCCTTGTTTGTGCCAAGTTTTACGACATTGTATCAATGTTCAATTGGCCCGGGGGGCACACAAAAGGCTAATAACAGTTCATTCCTTGGGCCAAGAGGAGTTGGCCATTTTCAGGAAATTAAAGAATGTATATTTCCAGATTAAATTTTGTAACTAATTTCCAATCCGAGAAGGGTGGGGGAGGTTAATGCATAAATTCCAATACTAACAATGAATAAGATATTGGTTGTATATGCAAAATTCTGTAATTTCGTTATTAGATTATGCCATATTTTAATACTCTCGGGGAAATAAATTCACATAAACCGTATAAAGAATTCAATAGATCGAATAGGATATTTAGTATGGAACAAGGTTTTGATGTTATAAATTAAAATATAAATGAGCACGGATGTAGATTGGCAATGTTTAGGGAAATGAAAGTCATAGAGAGGTCATAAAAGGATGAAGAGGAAAATAATAACACGGAAATCCAGCAAATTAAAAAATTAGAGCCAAAAAGAGAAGACACGCGTGTGGGCGTCTTAAAAGTTTACATCACAAAGTAACTAAAATAGAGAGATTGCAAGTCCCTCCCTTTAAGAAATGTTCGAATTAAGATTCCCCGAAATTCGTGAGTTTTAGGTATACAGGAAAAACCTGAAAAACCTGCAACCAACTTTAGACTGCTCTCATTTAAAAGCCAGCTGTTAAAATTATTCCAGTGACAGCTCATTACATTGTTTACCAGCGTACAAAAGCATATAGGTGAGAATTTTCCAGAAAAAAAGTTATTCGTGATGTATTCACGCGTGATAGAGTGAGTTCTTTATATTTGGCTGGAAAACCACAAGTGGCTATCGTTAGAACACTCCAGGATTGAAATGTGAATAAATCTTTTGTGTCTCGTACCATCGCTCGTTACCGTGATACTGGTAGCATAGCCCGATGTCAAGGAAGTGGACGGAAGAAAACAGCAACATTAGCAAAAATGATTCGAAAATTAAAGAAGCGAGTTGATCGCGTCGCAACATTCCATTCGGAAAATATTAAAAAATGAGCTCGCGGCAAAGCCATTGAAATTCCAAAAAGTGCAAGAAGTTACACCGCAACAGAAGGAAAATAGACTGAAAAGAGCTTAAGAGTTGCTTCGGTTGGCCAAAAGTGGTGAACTGCTGAATTTGGCTTTCTCCGATGAGAAAACATTCGTTGTCCAGCAGTTTGTAAACAAACAAAATGATTGAGTTTACTTGCCAAAGAGGTCAGCTGAAAATGTGTATCTTCGGTTGGCCACCAGAACTCAAGCGCCAGTCATGGTGATGGTATGGGCCGCCATAACAGCCGATGGTCGCTCTCCGCTCGTATTAATCGACATAATGGCCACCAAAATCTCCGGATCCAATACCAATCCGTTGGACTATTATGTCTGTAGTATTTTGGAAAGCAAGGTTGACATTAAAAAATTCCAAAGTGTCGATCACCTCAAGCAAGCGCTTTGCCGGGAATGGACCAAAATGCCTCAGAGCAACATTCGGGCAGCGTCTGACGATTTCATTGGCCGTTTGAAGGCCATAATTCGTGCCAAAGGTGTCCAATTCGAACAAATCTAAACTTATTCTAAAATTTGATACTATTTCCGACATTTTTTGCTGTAAAAAATATGGCGTTTGACTTTGTTGCAGTTTTTGTTTTCTCTCACCCTGTATATCATTTGATACAGCCAAAACGTGCCTCATCGAAATAACGATTTTAGACCCTAGGTCTCTTTGAACCAAATCCGTTTCAGGACATTTGAAGTGGATCTAGCGATATCCGCCCGCCCGGCTGTCTGTTGTGCACGATAACTCTCGATGGGAGTATCCGATTTGGTCCAAACTTGGTTTATCAAACTTAGATCGAGTTCGAAGATGGCCCCACAAAAGGTCGAAATGTACAAAAAATATTTTAGTGCACAGGATGAAACAGGACAATCCGATTTTTCAACTTTGCAAATCGTAATATTTGCGTCAGTGCTAGGTCGGGTGTGAAAATTAACAATATTGGACCACTCCATCAAGTACATCACCCACAAGGAGTCAACATTTTGAATAATTACAACTCTTATAAAATGTGATGTAAGACTCCGATTGTCTTCAAATTTCACATATCCCAATACTTATATTAACCCAAAATGGAATATATCGGCCCACTCCTTCTGCTACCACCCCCACAAAAGGTCGAAATTTTCAAAATATATATTTTTTGAACAGAAAGAGAAATGATAATCCGATTTACTCCAACTTTGCAAATCCTAATATTTACGTCAGTGCTAGGTCAGGTGTGAAAATGGACAATATCGGTCTACACCATCAAGTACCTCCCCCAAAGGGAGGGGGTCAACATTTTGAATAATTATAACTCCTATAAAATGTGAAGTAAAAGCCCGATTGTCTTCAAATTTCACTCATCCCAATACTTTTATTAACCCTAAGTCTGGTGTAATAATGGAATATATCGGCCTCCACCTTCTGGTACCTCCCACACATATGGTCGAAGAGAGAAACGATAATCCGATTTTACTCCAACTTTGCAAATCTTAATATTTGCGTCAGTGCTAGGTCGGGTGTGAAAATGGAAAATATTGGACCACTCCATCAAGTGCCTCTCCCACAAAGGGTCAAAATTTTGAATCATTATAACTCTTATATAATATGATGTCAGAGACCGAAATTTCACACATCCTACTATTTTTGTGAAGTCAAGATCTGGTAGTAAGACGGAATATATCGGTTGACTGCTTCTGTTACTTCCCCCACAAAAGGTAGAAATTTTAAATATCCATTAAGCTCATAAAACACGAAATTAACATCCGATTCCATTTAGACTTGACACATCTCAATATTTCTATCAACACAGGATCTGTTTTAAAGACGGCAGAGATCGGACCATTCCTTCTGCTACCTCCCCCACAAAGACTCAATGTTTTGAATAACCAAAACATTTACAAAGTCCGAAATAAGCATCGGGTTCTATTTATATTTCACACATCCCATCATTTCTACTGACACAAGATCTATTGTGAAGATGGGATATACCGGCTCACTCCTTCTGGTTCCTCCCCCACAAGGGGTCAAAATTTTGAATAAAAATGAGGCTCATAAAACACGAAATTACCAATCGATATTCAATATTTCCGACAACACAAGATGATATTATAAAGATGCTAGAGATCGGGCCATTTCTTCTGGTACCAGTCCAACATAGGTTTCAATATTTTCAAGAAGAAAACGCTCAAAGAAAGCGAAGAAGGCATCCACATCTCTTCAAATTTGTTTTGAAGATGATATATATATATATATATATATATATATATATATATATATATATATATGCGAACCCATTCTGGTACCTCACCCACAAAGGGTCAAAATTTCCAGTAATTTTATTTGTCATAAATTGCGAAACAACTCAGCCATGTTTTACAACTTGCTATATCTAAATATATTTCTCCCGACCTGAAACCTGGATGAATGTGGAATTTATAATTTCGAATAAAATCGGACATAAAATGTTTGATTTTCTTGTAACTTTGCCCACACCAATAAGTTTATATGAATTAGATGAAGCATGAAAATGTAATACTTCACTCGACTATATCTGGTACCTCATGCACATGTTGAGATTTTCTAAAAATTATCACATATGCCATGTAAATTGAAGGAAGTTACCAATATAGTCAAATCCTGGCAGGTCGCAATATTTATGCGAAATGGACAATATTGGCCCATTCCACATTTGTTTGAATAATCATAACAGAAGTCAAAATATTTTTAAATAATCATACATTGACTGAGGTTATAGATCTGTCGAAAAAACCGACAGATACCTTTTTATACCCTCCACCATAGTATGGAGGGTATATTAAGTTTGTCATTCCGTTTGTAATACCTCGATCAGCATAAAATTCTATGTCGATTTACCAGTTCCGTCCGTCTATCCATCTATGGAAATCACTCTGGCTTTCGAACGAAATGAAGTAGGTTGATAAAATTTTACTCAAGTGTGTACTATATCTGCAGGTCTTCTGGTATTGAAAATGGATTATGTAGGTCCACGTCTTCGTATAGCCCCCATATAACGGTACCCCCCCCCCCACGATATTCGGTATTTTTATGCTTTTAGCGACATTATTTAGAGGAACTTTTTCAAATTTGGTATTTGAATTTCATAATGGATACTACAGCCTACGACAGAAAATTGTCTGTGAAGGTCCACGTTTCATAACCCCCATGGTAGCTCCCTATATTCGGTATTTTGATGGTTTTAGCTACATTATAAACAGATTTGTTTTCAAGTTTCGCATTTGAATATTGTAATAGCTTGTGACAAAAGTTGCCTATGCAGGAACACGTCGTCGTATAGACCCTAATATACGGCTAAATTCAGTATTTTTAAGATTTTAACAGAATTTTTAACGGATTTTATTTTTTTGAAAATTGTTCAAAGTTCGACCCAGCCGAACTTACATTTTTTTTCCTTGTCATCTGTTAACTTGTTTGTTTGTATATCCAAATCCCCGCCATGTATCAGCCAAACTGCACAAAAAGTAATCCCACTTATTTTACTTTTTAGTACGGATTTCCAAAACCACCTCCTGATCCTAATACCAAATTTTAGATTTCAAGCAGTATCCGTTCACGCAATACCCAATATAGAACTTCTCGTATGCTTGCTGAACGTATTTGAAACCCAAGTCCTTATCTTAACCCTGCCCATCAGAGATAGAGACCCCAATACCAAAATTTTAAATTTCCAGACCTATCCGTTCACCCAATTCCAAATTGTACCAATTTTAGTCAGATAGTCAATTATTTTACTCTTTTATTAATATACGTAATAATATTTGTTTTTCCTTTAAATGAACAATTAAATGTTTGAAATTTTTAAAAACTTTAACCCAATTACTATTTTAACTAGCATTTGTTATTAACTTTATGTTTCACATTGACCAAGGAAGGGCCTTCCATAAAATGAATGCAAATTTTTAAATTGAGTCGAACTTAAATCTGGATTTAAAGTAGCTGTCTTCCAATTTTTTTTTTTCTTAAAATTCAAATATTAAACCAAGAGCAAAATTGCTTTTGATTTTTAGTAGAGGGTATGCTTAGCACGAAAATCTTATCTCTATTAGAATATGACTTAGATTTGTGAACAACTTCTACCACATTGCCTCTTGTTCGTCATACAACAACTTCCACTGAATATTACTTTTGCATTCAATTTGCCTTTCATAAATTAATTTTCAATTTCCACAGAACTCAATTCCCCTTTTTATTTGAATACCCCTGCACTGGTTCTCAACTGCGTATACAAAACGCTTTTGTCTTTCGTTCTCATAACTCATACGCTCCCCATAACTACTACACCCACCCTATTAGCTAGCCACAAACAGATAGATTAGATACTTGACTTCAAATCCCCCCACTGCAAACATCCTCTTTCATTGCTTTCACTCACAACAAGCTCTCGTTATACTCTTATCTATCGAATCCAAATTTATTAACATTTACATAAATTTTGTAAATATTTTCCCACTCATTGCAAGCATCTGTTAACTTCATCTCCGACACCCCTTCCCTTCCCTGCCTTCATTTTTGTGAAGGCAGGGCCTAGTCATGCTGCTAATTCTTGGCTTTAATTAAACGCGATTCATGTTTGCACTGAGGTTAGGAAAATGTGCCGCCAAGAAATGTTTGGCGCGGTGTGGTTGACTCGACTCGAAATGCAAATTGGCCTTCTGCTTTTATCGTTTCTTTTGTTCGCATTCTTTGCAGGTGAATTACCGGCAGCTGTGCAACACAATTCCGCCACGGCACTTGCTCCATGGAGGAGTACACAAAGCCTACGTGTTCTCGCAGGACTAATGCATCTGTGGTGGCTGTTCCGATACTCAAGGCGGCATCGGCAATGGTGGTGGTGCTGGTGCTGGTGTTCATTGCTGATACATTTCGTCGTTGGCCCTGTCCCCTTCGTCGGCTTGAGCTTTGTGATGAACGTTGTGAATTGAAGCGTCATGTCGTCAAGCGAGCGAGTGAATGAGAGAGTGAGTGGTGTTATTAACTTAATTAAAGTTAATCAAAAGCAAGCGAACGAACGAAAGAAAGACGGAAAGAACAGCAGCAACATCAAACAACAGCAACTACAACAATAACAACACACGGCTTCATCGCTGACAACCAACCATCAGTGTAGGCAAACAATAATTACAGGAACAACAACGGCTGACGCTGCCGCACAATAACGGTATGTAAGTTTTCTTAATTTATCCATTGTTACAGAACCCTTCCCTCCGCTGGCTGAAATAGAACAAACTGACACACTTAAATAATAAACTTAAATGCCGGCTTAGTTGTTTAGTCACAAAAATATGACTATGCTTCTGATCCGAAGCGAAGTGAAGTGAAGCCCGTCCCTGCTGAAAAGAACATTTGAACATTTTCGCTCGACGTTGAATTTAATGCAATTAACAGCTTAACTCTCTAAACAATTTGCAACAGTGTGTCATAAACTAATTGTTGTGTACATAAACGAGTTAGGTATAACCAGTAAGGAAAGCTCAAAAGTCGGGCGGGCCCGACTATATGATACCCTACACCACTATGCATATTTAGTAGAGCTCTCGTAAAAAGGTTTATACAAGGCATTTCAGAGCTCTATGAGATATTTGGTACAAAATCAAAATCTATCTAATTCTATCGTGCATTTTACGAACTATAGCTATCTCTGAACCGGGTTTCTCTAAATTTGACGTATTAGCTTCTAGACTGAATTCGGTCTTATGTACGAAAATGCATGCCATTTGGGCTGATATTGGCCATTTGATGCACAATTAACACGAAATCGGATGAAGATATATATGGAAGCTCTAGCTATATCTGAACCGATTTTTACTAAAATTGGTGTACTTGCTTCTAAGCTGGTTTCGGTCGGATTTGCCAAAATTGATGCTATTACGGCCATTTGGTGGTCAATCACCCGAAATCGGATGAAGATATATATGGGAGCTATATCCAAATCTGAACCGATTTCGGTAAAATTTAAAACAGCTATTCCTGTGCTCCATCTAATACCTGGTATCAAATATCACGGTTGTGGAGTGAATATTACGAATGCAAGGGACTAAAACACTAAATCGTATGAAACATATATATGGTTGCTATATCTATATCTGAACCGATTTTCACTAAATTTGATATACTTGCTTCTAGGCTGAATTTGGTCCGATTTACTAAAATTCAGTCCATTTGGACTTATATCGGCCATTTGGTGCACAATTAACCCGAAATCGGATGAAGATATATATGGGAGCTATATCCAAATCTGAACCGATAAAATTACAAACAGCTATTTCTGGGCTGTATCTTATATCTGGTACCAAATATCATTCTTATGGAGTGCATATTACGAATGGGAGAGGCTTAAACACCAAATCGGATAAAACATATATATGGGAGCTATAGCTGTTTCTGAACCGATTTTCTCCAAATTTGATATACTTGCTTCTAGGCCGAACTCGGTTGGGTTCAGGTAATTTGGACTGATAGTGGACTGATAGTGGACATTTGGTGCACATTTAACCCGAAATCGGATGAAGATATATATGGGAGCTATATCTAAATTTGATCCGATTCTCACCAATAGGGTTCGTCCTTGGGCCAAAAAAATATCGTTTGGAAAATTTCATCTCAATCGGATAATAAATGCGACCTGCATTTTGTTCACAAGAATACATGGACAGACGGACAGACGGACTGACATGCATAAATCGACTCAGAAAGTGATTCTATGAAGGTTCTCAAAAGTAACTATGGGTCTATCTCGTTTCCTTCTCCATGTTACAAACAAATGCACAAAAACATAATACCCTTACCACTATGTGGTGTAGGGTATAAAAATGGAGGTTGATTTACTGAAGGGAGATCCGGAGGGAGGCTATACCGAATATTTATTTCCACCATTTTAACGAGGTTATACAGGGTGAGATGAAAAAACTGCAACCAACTTCAGAATACTGTAATTTCTAAGCCACTCGTCCGAAGGCTGTTAAAATTATTCCAGTGACAGCTCATCATATTGTTTACAAGCGTACAAAAGCATTTTTGCGAGAATTTTCCTGAAAAAAGTTATTCGTGATGTAATTCAAGCGTGATAGTGTGATTTCTTTATATTTGGCTGTTAGAACGCCCCAGCATTTGAATGTGAATAAATATTTTGTGTTTCGTACCACCGTGACACTGGTAGCGTAGCCCGACTTCAAGGAACTGGACAGAAGAAAACAGCAACATCAGCAGAAATGGTTCGAAAAGTAAAGAAACGACTTGATCGAAACCCGCGTCGCAGTGGCCGAAAAATGGCACGTGAGCTGAACATATTGGAATATTCCATTCCGCAAATATTGAAAAATGAGCTCGGGATAAAGCAATAGAAATTCCAAAAGGTGCAAGAACTTACACCGCAACAGAAAATAAATAGACAAACTGTCCCGCAGTTTGTAAACAAACAAAATGATCGTGTTTCCTTGTCAAAGAGATCAGCTGAAAATGTGCACCTTCGGTTGGCCGCCAGAACTCAAGCGCCGGCCATGGCTATGGTGTGGGCCGCCATAACAGCCGATGGTGGCTCCCCGCTCTATTAATCGACTGGAGGGTGTATTAAAGCCTTGGGCACGCAAACGTTGTGGCCGCGCCGCCCTATAATGGTTACAAAATGAGGTTCATCGCTTCATTTCCAGTGTCCAATGGCCACCGAAATCTACGGATACCATTCCGCTGGACTATTGTGTCTGGAGTATTTTGGCACTAAAAATACCAAAATATCGATCACCTCAAGCAAGCGCTTCGCCGGGAATGGGCCAAAATACCGCAGAGCAACATTCGGTCAGCGTGTGCCGGTTTCATTGGCCATTTGAAGGCCATAATTCTTGTCATAGGTGACCAATTCGAAAAAAATCTTAACTTATTCTAAAATTTGATGCTATCTCCGATTTAGCATTGTCCGCCTGTCTGTGTGTCTAACTGATATAATCATGCTATCTTTTCTTCTATATCAAACGAATGGAGAAAGAAGGATAAAATCTTACGCACAGGTGTATTTAACCAGTAGGAAGGTTAAGTTTGTAGATGGGTCCACGTTTTCGTATGGCTCATTACTATATTCGGTATTTCGACGATTTTAGCAACATTATTCACCGGATTTGTTTCAAATTTTGACAATTTGGAATCGGTACTATAGCCTATGACAGAAAATTACTTATGCAGCCCCCAAATAATGGGTTCCAATTAAACAGATTTTTTTTATATAATTTTCTTTGCTTTTATAACCTCCACCATACATAGTATGGAGGATATATTAAGCTCATCAACCAAAGTTATATTCTTGATTCTTGATGAATTAAGATAGGAAGCTCAAAATTTTGCACAGATCAGTCTTTTGTCTGCAGGCAGGTCAAGTTTGAAGATGGGCTATATCGGTTCACGATATCGTATAGCCTGCATATAACGGGGCTATACGATATATAGCTACACAAGGAGTTTTCTGTGAGTACTGAGCCTGAACCTGAAAGGGAATTGTCTACATAGGTCCACGATATGGTATAAGCCCCATAAAGCGGTACCTTCCGATATTAGCTATTTGGGTGATTTTAGCTAATTTTTTTCAAATTTCATATTTAAAGTTCGAAATAGGTACTGCAGCCGATGACAAAAAATTACTTATGCAGGATCACATCTTCGTATAGCCCCATTTAACGGTTTTCTTTTAAGCGGTTTTATTTCGACAGAATATTTTGGACATTTTTCATGTTCCTTCAAAATGTAAGGGGGTATTAAAAGTTCGGTTCGCTTATTTACTTATTAGTTTACAAAACAATATATAGAAACACAAAATTTGCAGATGTCGGGTACACTCTGAAAAAAAAATTAGTAAGGAAAAATCCAAAGTCGGTCGGGGCTGGCTATGTGATACCCTACATCACTATGCATATTTAGTAGAGCTCCCATAACAAAAGAATTTATTTGAAGTAGATCATACCAACAATTAGAGCAGTTATAGTTTGCTATAGAGTGCATGATATCACTTGCAGAAGGATTATATTAAAAAGATATATATCGGAGCCGAGTTGAAAAAAATTGAAACATACGTCTCGAAATGCACTCCATTTGAGCTGATATTAGCCATTATTTGCACAATAAAGGTGAAATCGGATTAAGGATATATATTGGAGCTTTATCCAAATCTTAGCCGTTCTGCATAAAATTTGGCTACAGCATTTCCGAGCTTTATAAGATATCTCGTACCAAATATCATGAAACATATTTATGAGAGCTATATCTATATCTGAACCGATTTTCTCCGAATTCGATGTACTTGTTTCTACACTGAATTTGGTCGGATGTACCAAAATTCAAAACTTTTGGACAGATATTAGCAATTTGGTGCACAATTAATCCAAAATCGGTTGAGGATATATATGGCAGCTATATCCAAACCTGAACATACCTTGATAAAATTTGATACGTGTATTTCGAATCTGTATCTTATATTTGGTACCAAAGATCGTTGTTGTAGAATGCATATTACGCTTGTGAGGGACTTTAAGCCCCAATCGGAAAAAACATATTGCTATATCTGAACCGATTTACACAAAATTTGAATTCAGTCGTTATTGCCAAAATTCAGTTGATTTAGGCTGATATTAGCCATATGGTGCACCATAAACCTGATATCTGATAAAGATATATATGGGAGTTATATCCATATCTGAGCCGATATCGATAAAATTTGGCAGAGGTTATTTCGAGCAGTATCTAATGTCCGGTACCAATGTCATTCTTCTGGACTGCATATTACGCATACCCGGCTTTTAAAACCCCAAATCGGATGAAACATATATATGGGAACTATAGCTATATCTGAACCGATTTTCTCCAAATTAAATTTACCTGCTTCTAGACTGAATTCGGTTGGATGTACCAAAATACAGGTCATTTGGGCTTATATTAGTCACCTGGTGCACAATTAAGCTGAAATCGGTTGAAGATATTTGGGAACTATATCTAAATCTGATCCGATTATCGCTAATTTCAATTAGGTTCGTCCTTAGGCCAAACAAATATAGTTTGCAAAAACTGCATCTCAATCGGATAATAAATGCGACCTGCATTTTGTTCACAAGAATATATGGACTGACGGTCGGACGAACGGACTGACGTGCTTAAATCGACCCAGAAAGTGATTCTATAAAT